GTATGACGAAATTTGCACCAGCTATACTCCGCAGCAAACACGAGCACGGAGCGAGAAAATGTCAAATGATAACCCTTGTGCAGTGAAAAAAACAGAAGTATATTACGTAGTATATTGTGTTTGACGATTCAGCATAATGTCATAATAGTGGTACGCAGAAAGCATAACACCTGATGAAGTGGCGCGCAGGTTTTGCGGACCTCTGCTTTAGACAGTTTTAGAGGTGATGTTTTTAAATCATAATGAAAATCATTATTTCCCACAGAGTAAAAAGCAATGATCGTTTATTCTAATGTTTTTAAATTAAAATATAATTTTTTAGACATCATTCAGTCCAAATTGGTATCGGTGAGTACCGGAAAGCAAGCATCGGTACTTTGTCTGAAAAACGATGCTATTGATGCGTCCCTGACCTTTTTAAAGAAAAGGGACATTTTTGTAGCTTTCAGATAAGTAATTTTTATTTAATTTTTTATGCATCACAAATTATACTGTTTATTTCATTTGATTTTGTAGCACTGATCTGATGATTTGAATAAACATTTGCTTTCACACACTTACGGCTGTTTGTGTTTTTGTGGAAAGCTTGGACTCAGGTATTATTGGAGCGGAAATGACCCATGTAGTTGCACCTCCAAGCGTTGTTTGGGTGAGTCTGGACCACATGCACTTGCAATATGGCCCCTCGTAATGGGCTGTTCAGCGCAAGCTGCCTTTGCATGGGCAGTATCTCGTACTTTCAGTGCTCCGTGTCGCCGTTCCTCCCAGTTCCTGTCATAGGGGGCGCTGCTGTGCCATACACTACACCACACTACAGCCCCTGACAATGACTCTGGCTTGACAGCTTAGGTCAGACGTGGAAAGCTGTGTTTTCCTGGTGACCTTTCGCCTGTGATGACTTTTGGCCATGAATAACAGGTAAAGTGAGACGATGTGATTAATTAAAGCAGTCGCATCCCTTTCATTTCTCCAGGAAGGACATGCTTCAGTGATGAAGCTGGGAGTCAATAAGAAGAATAAGTATAGCCTCATAACATGAAGACGGGATGGAGCAAAAAAAAATTTTTTTGCACATTTTTGCTTGAAAAGTAACTAATCCCTTCTGTCCACCTCACCCAGTGTCTTCCATATTTTTGTCATTCATTCCTTTCTTATGCAGGCAGTATAAGTTCTATCTTCTGCAGAGCAGCTGGCTTTTTATAGTTACAAGACAGCATATCAAGAAAAATAAGATACATGACGTCCCACACACGCACCCCCATGGATGGCCCCTCAGTCACTCGCAAAACAGGCAGCGTTCGCGCTGTCAGACATCAGCCTGGTTTTTTGGTGAGGGTCGTCTTAGCTGGCAGTAAAAAGCTTCCTGCCTGTTGACAGAGATACACCCTCTACACTCTCTACCATGTGAATGTTTGTAAGCCACAAAGCATGAATGCTTTAGAGTAGGTCCAGACAAGCGTGGTCGTCAGCCCTGGCTTCTCCATCAATATGACCCTCTGCTTCAGAAAAAGTGCTAGGCTACATGGGATATTAAAAAAATGCTTCTTATGCACAATTTGACTTTCTCTCTTATTCGTGAAAGCCTATGAATAATGTGTTTTTTTTTTTTTTTCCTTTCTTGGTTTTATTTCCTAATGGTATCACAGCAGTGTTCGTAAAAATAAATGTCACCCTGGATATTTACTGAGTCGACGAAGTTCTGCTTTTAAAACGTACACCCTAACTGAATCACCTCACCTCCACCTCTCTGTTTACTGTTCTTGCCCTTTGTCTCTCCATGAGGAAAGGTTTCTGTCGCTATGGTGACTCCCACTGGGGTCTGTTTTGATTGCGTTTCCTCTCCTCTGCGGTCACAGAATTAAAATCCATTCAGTGCTTCCGTTTATCCATCTTTGTTAGTGACCTCAAGGTATGTGATGTGAAATAGTCACATGTATTTTCCCTATTAATAACAGCTAGAGATTTGAGGCATATCTGTTCCCCCAAAAGTGTTGCTGCGTTTTCCTCAGCAGGTGGCATCTAGCGATGAAGTAATTTGATTGTTGACTTAAAGGCCCCTCAAGTTCCCCGGGCTGTATTACCCTTGTGTGATTGAATTTTAACATCCGAGAATGTTCAAGGGCCATGTATAATGCAGTATTTGCGTTGGAAAACCAACAGTGACTGCTTGAATGCATGTAAATTTGTGTTATGTGTTAACACTGATGGCCCATAGACCACGGTCATTCGAGATTTCGTTTGAGCTCCCAGCTTCTTTGAATCTAGGTTATTTAGCTGAAGTAAACACCAACACTGTGGTCTGAAGGAAAAATATCACTGAAAAAATCAACCCCCTGGCAAATTCTTTCTTTATCTTGCCAGAAATTACTTAAGAAAACCACAAATGAGCAGTGTACTGAGTTTTACGGAATATTACAGCTAAAACCCCACAACAGCATACCCAGATTATTACTCACTTAGTCCCCAAAAAGCTTCTTCGATACTTCCTGCTGCTGAATGTCTGGATGAAGGAGGGTGGGAATTATGTTTCCCTGCTCTTGTTGTTGCCATGCAGATAAACATTGACTATAAGGTTAATGGAGTCTGAATAGGCAGATGATTCCGAGCAGCTATCATTACCCAGAATCCAACTTTGCAATGCTTTCTGCTGAGCAGCCAATAAAATGCATTAAAAGTATTTGAAGCTTGGGTGCTCTGATAAAGGGATCTCTGTGTCTCTGTACTAGTCATCAGCCATGATGCAGTCTGTCTTTTAAAAATGGTATTTTTTTCAACCAAATCAGCCACAGAAATCATGTAGCCACACAGACACACACGGGTCCATAATCCCTTATTCTAGATGTATCAGAGAACGTCACGGATCTTTCTGTTGACACGGGCAGGAATGCAAAAGGGCCACCATAAATCCCAAGGATCTCGGCTAATATGGGTCTGCAACCTGCTCTTTGATTATGTATGAAGGAGTTATACATATTTAGCATTGCTGAGGCTGTGCTTACAGGCAGTGAAAAACCATGTTGTGTTTATGAGGCAGCACATGTCACCCCACCACTGAGATTCGCTGGTCTCTGCCTACGCCCCCCCCCCCCCCCCCCCCCCCAATCTCACATAGCTGTGCTCAATCGACAGCCTGAACACCCCTGTTTCAGGTGTGGTACAGCCCAGTGGAAGGAGGAGGCGGAGGAGAATCAGCAAGACTCCTCTGGAGGCCCAGGATCAGATGCAGTGAATGTGCTTGAATCAAAATGGCCTAGTTTGGTGTTTCTCGAATAAGCTAGGAAATGTACCTGTAGCTGTTCCACAGTGGTCTGTTATGTATTATCCAGCTTTTCAGGAGGCACTTGTACTGAAGTGAAATTGTAGCACATAGTTAGCAGATTTTTAGTGACCATTTATATACTGTAAGGCTGGATATTTCACTGAATGAAAACCAGGCCCGGTGCCTTTCTGACGGGAACAATAGCAAAGCACTCATCCCTTGGGAATATGACCAGCAACCTTCTTGGCCACATCTGGATTCTTAACCATTTCAGCACCATCAGTCGTTTCAGCTGCAATGAAATGAAATGATGGTTTATTTTCCATTTGCACAAGTATGAGTACAGATACATTGGAATGCTCTTTTTTTTCTTCAAATAGTCCATCTTGCACTCATTGCTGTCATTCACCTCCTTATCTCAATTTCCTGATTGTGTTTAACTTTTTGAAATTAACTGTATCCATTGAAATTTTCTTCGGCATGTGCAGATGAGAATTCCATCTGTCAGAATCCATACTCAGGCTTCGCACTATGGTTTCCCATTTTGAACTACCCATTTTTAATTTAATATACCGTAATATATCAGAAGGGTGCCTTTTTAAAAAACAGCTTTGGCAACAGGAACACTATGCTGGGTTTTTATTGCTTTCTTGAAATGGACACCTCAAAAACAGTGACCTCCTGTGGTTATAATATTTTTGCCACAAGTGCATACATTTTCCATTTTCAGCTTCAAGGTGTATGCCTGCTCATCCTTCTCGTGAGGTAACTGGTCCATCTGTGCAGAAACACACTTCTGTCCCGGTCTGTTTAGGCTTTATCTGTTGGCTGACAAACATTTTGCCCTGAAATCAGAACGTCAGTAGAGATGAACCTGCAGCCGTTGACAAAGATGGAGATGTGCTTAGTCTCGCAGACCCTCCAGGGCCAGCTGTGAACAATGTTGTGGCATTCAGTGTTTGTGTGTGAAAGTGACTCATTGCTGGTTAAGTGAAAGCACTGAACCTGTCACTTTATTCAGACCTGGAAACAGCCAAGCCTAATTATTCATTACTCATTGGTACCCGCTGCCCTCAGTTGAGCCTTTTCATGATTTAATGGATGGCGCACGTCAGTTGTTTCGCTTTCCCAGCATATTTTGACAGTTCCATGTCATGTTAAACTGCAGGATGACTGGAGGTGTGTGTCAGCCTCGGGTTCAGTAAATCTTTTCTCTGGTGCTGGACATTGACTTTGACATCTGCGCTTTGCGCGGTTTATTGTACACCTCTTTCGGAGGTTACCGCTTATATAATCGCAAGGACAAAGAGCTAAGGCCCCCTATGCCTCGTAAAATAAAGGAAAGGGGAAAAAACGTTAAATGATCACGTATTTGTTGTTTCATATCAAATAATTATATTAGGAATTAGTATACAAAATAAATACAAAATAGGTCTCTTTCCTCCATTTTTAATTGCAGTTAATAGTTTACGTACTATGTGTATATGTAAAAACGATCGACTTTGCCTTTGTATAGTTGTGTGTATTTTAACTTAACTTTAATGCGCGTAACCTCCGATTGATGAAAGATGACTAATAAGTACGATATTTGAATATTAACGCAGCGATTTTTCGCGCGCACCCGGTGAATGGGATAAATAGAATAAACAGATGAGCAGGGGTGGGGGGATGCTCACTCCCACTGTTATGCATAAAGGCCAGGATTAATCTCGGGATTTAATGCGCTCAGGAGGCTCGCTACTGAGGAGAGAGAGAGTGAGAGCGCAGGCGGATCGCACAGCTCACACAGTAGCATCAATGCATGCACACGTCTTCCTGTAGGCAGTCCAACCTGCGCCACACGAATGTCAAATTGACAATTGATGCTTGCATCGATCTGTGTGATTTTTGATTAAGTCAAAGGGGGTCCTGTTTCTCAATCTAAGAAGAATCTCATCCAATAGTAGTATTTACTAAATTCGTTTTTTTTGGCTAATGGAAAAATGGCGATCTCTACTCAGTCCTGCAGCACCTTCTGCTTGGTGTTAGTGCAGACTGTCTTCATTATTAGTGTCACCTCACCGGGGACGGACAGCCTCAGCTTTCCTCAGCAATATACGTGAGTATGCAACCGGACCCAAACCTTATGGACCGCAAGGCTCGAACCGACCCTGCGGCACGGGACAGGTGCCTCCAAGTACGCCGTTTATTAGGGTAGGGTTTTCATAGGTTGGGACCTTAGATGCTGCTAGGTCTGTGCACTTATTTCTTTGTTACGGCGATAACTTGTGCATACGGTTGATAATCAAAAACGTGTAGTGTCGGTGACAGAGACGATTGGGAATGTGAGGATTTTCACGTGCTTCTCCATAATGTACTATGCGGTCCACTCGCGGTTCCGATCAGTTTCCATTCAACACACCGTCGTTATTTAAATCTCACCCCATTTTTTCTAGACAAATATATGTTTTGATTGGGGTCGTGTACCCTATCTCATCCAGTGTGTTCTAGATCTGAAAAACTCCCAGGAAAGTGACGCTGTTTTCAATGAGCACAGTGTTACACTCCACCTGCAGTAACTGTGGATGTATATTGTGTGCTGTGTTTCCAATGACATTTGAAATAATATGACAGTAAACGCAAATATACCGAATATACGCATTATCAGTAGTATTTCTGTTGTTAAGAGCTTTTGCAATAGATATTGGAGGCATCAATCTGCTATGTATATTTTAATGTGGAATATGGTCGACGAAAGGGTTCTGTGGTGTTACCTGCTGAAATGTTAAAATAACCACAAACCACTAAAAAATAAACCAACTGATTATTTTATTATTAAACTGTAATTTATGAACTATTTCAAGGTAATTTTGGCTGTGGACTAATTAAAGTTTTGTGTGTGTATTTTTAGAGCTGTCACGATTACTCGATTAAACTCGATTACTAAAAAGCATCGATTAAATTTTCCCTTCTCGATTACTCGGCAATGTGGCGGAAGGAAGACGCACATAGAGTATGGAGGTCCAGGTAATTTAATTCACATTAAAAGTGAATGAAAATGCAGTCGTCTGTAAGTATTGCAAAGCAGAACTTAAATATCACCACGGAATAACTGCAATTCAAGTATAGGCCTATATCTTAAAAGAAAACATTCGGGAAAATCAATAATGCGAGGTTAACTATAGATATGATATGTGCCGTTTAGTCTAGCGGAGTAGCCTAGCCTGTCTTTGTCATCACGTTGACTTAAATTATTTTGCGTAATTGACTTTCTACGATTCCCGTAGGCACGTGTCAAAATAATCGGTGCAAAAGCGAAGGTCAGCCCTGTCACTTAATTAGCCGCATCATCTTACCCAACACATGGTGGTCAACTTTGGTCAGCTGGCTGGCGTGAGATTTTCAATTCGAGATAAGCCTGCACGCACATGCACACGCTATTACATCTATGTAACAGTTGTATTACCTTGTGAATATTCAGTACGGTTTACAAGCTACCACAACGCTTTAAATGTAGCTAATTTTAGGTTTATAATGGAATAATATAGATTTGCCGTAAGATTTCTTGCGTGAGCGTGAGAGTCTGAAAGCGTGTCACGCCAGATGCGTGAGAGTTGCCAGCCCTGTATTACATAATGTGCATGCAGAGGTCATGCAAAAGCAGCGGCGGTGAACTTTAGACCGATTCCATTTATTTATTTATTTATTTTTAAATATAGGCATACTAGATCATTTTGAAAAGAAACCATCATTAAAATAAAATAAAATAAAGCTGACTGAGTTTCGTTTCCAGTGACTGAGTTAAAAACAGTTTTTTCGCTTGTTGAAGCTTGACCCTAGCAAACAATCGCGGTTCTGGAGATGTGACAGTTGCATGGCATGAAAATGCCATGTTGATATTAACATCTCGCATCGTGCAAGCCTGTCAGGGCGGCAAAATGGCGTGGCGTGGTGATCTTACTGCACACCGCTCCTGTGTGTGTGTGGAGTTTACATGCTCACCCTGCGTGGTGGCTTTCATGCAGATCCTACCGTTTCCTTCCACTGTCCAAAAACATGCAAATTAAATGAATTAGTGTGCTTAAAGTGACCGTATGTGTCACTGAGCGTGCACCCTGCAGTGGTTGGTTGATTCTGGCCTCCTGCTAATTATGATATAATATAATATAATATGTTTAAAAGATTACTCGATGAATCATCAGAATAATTGATAGACATCTCGATTTTTGATATAATCGATAGTGACAGCCCTATGTATTTTGCTTTATTTTATGTTTCTGCACGGCATTTGAAATCTGCCATTCATTAATATCTCCTGGGAAAACTGTATCCCTGTCCAGTGGATGCTGTAAAAATAACTCATGCTTTAACTGTGCTTTGAAACATGCACTTATCTAATGAGGGTGGGAGATATTCTTGAATGGTGATGCATCCTGTTGTAGTCCTGGAATATGGAGCAGGTGGTGTTATGTAGTTCCATCTGTCTCACGCAGCGCGACAGGGGTGATGCTAACAAGGCCCAGCCTAACCTTCTCAAAGCTCCTATGGCAGCACTAGTGGAGGAAGTGTGGACCTTACATGTGCAGGGAAAGGTGTACAGAATGAACACGGAAGGTGGGCAGGTAGCATTACCCCAGCTGGGGATATTTGCGATTTGTGTGGAGTAGAATCAGCAGGATTAGCTGCCAGTTTGTCCCAGAATTCCATGCTTCAATGAGCCTGTTGGATACACACCTTTTCCTTTCTTTACCTTTTCAGTATCTGGATGCACATATAATTATAACTGTACTGCATTTAAGCACCACTTCCTGTACCAACCCCATTACCACCCACTGTAGTCCCGCCCATTTTTGTATCTACATGTTGCTAATTCACACCTTTTGTATAAGTGCTTTGACATTTGTGTTCCTTTGTTTCTGATGCATTGAGTCTTGCGTTACTTTGACTTGTGAAAACTATATCTCTGGTTTTACATATAGCTCCTTTGCTCCTGGATGCCTAAAAACAAAATGTCCATTTAGAAAGCCACCATTTCGAAAACCACTCCACCCATTCCCAGCAATCAAAACCTTTACCTTTAACTCACAAGGTATCCTATGGTAGGCAAGTGTAAATAACAAATCAATAGACTATATGATTCAATCTGCCAACAAGTCTGACAGGAAGTCTGACAAGATAAGCAGTCTGAGCTGAAAAATAATACTGATGAATTCATCATTGAGTTAAATGGTCAAAGGTGTCAGACCTTTACCATGAGGATCTGGTCCATGTTTTGATTTCAGCAGTTAACTGTGAGTAACTACAGGCTGTGGAAGGATAACATCACTGAAGGTCACTAGTGCCAAAGGGACTTAGGTGAAGGTCAAGGTGCTCAAAGCCTGTTGGTTTTCCAGTTGTCAGCAATGAGAAATGTGATGAGCTTAATTGAGACAGCAATTGGTTTTTCCGGGACCGTATCGAAGCAGCACATCCTGGCTTTACTTTTTTGAAATTCTCCCAAACTCTCTTAGGAATGCATGTGTTTCACCTGAATCTCTATGTCTGCAGGTCTCTATGAAACATACAACAAAATAGGAGTTTTGAATACAGATGTTCCGCGGGTTACGATGGGGTTACGTTAGGATAAACCTAATCGTAAGACGAAAATATCGTAAGGGAAAAATGCATTTTAATACAGTACACCTAACCTAACAGACATCATAGCCTAGCCTAGTCTACCTTAAAGATGCTTAAAACACTGATATTAGCCTACAGTTAATTACAGTTACTACAGTTACTATTATTAACACAAAGCCTATTTTATAATTATGTGTTGAATATCTCATGTAATTTATTGAGTAATGTACTGAAAGTTAAAAACATGTACCCATCCTTCAGTCATATTTGTCATTCTCAGGCTCAGGTTCAAAGCTGGTGGGGGGGCCTTAAGAGATATCATGCAAGAATGGAATGTAGATGGACTTCATTTAAATTATGCACCACTGCACCTTCTAGAACTTTCTCTCTCACTTGCTCGAGTCTGCTGCTTTTTCACCCATGTTTCCTTGCTTGCTCACTGGAGACCTGCACTGTTGCCTTCCTATCAATATTAATGGAGATGATATAAGCAAGATTAATTTAACTGCAAAACACTTTGCTGTATTTCTTGATGGAATCTCAGCTTTATTCTTTTGATAATATACACTCTTGCTTTAGTTCGTTTTGTGTTGTTTTTACATTGAAAATTCTGCCGTCGATTTGGACCTTGCATGTCACTGAGGGAAAATGTTATTGTGATGTTTGGTAAAATACATTAAGTGGCTCGGAGTGAAATATCTGTTTTGGGCTTGCTGTGCAGGTGGAATCAAATGGGTTTATATTGGCAGTATTTGTGCCACTTTGGGTATCTAGCTGGGACCGTGACAGGGATGTCCTGCCAACATTTACTTGAAATGGGAGCAGGAGGTGGGAGTTGGAGTCCCCAGATTCCAACGTTGGCCTTGCCGTTGCGCCTGCTGTTGGATGGGAGAGAGGCCGAGATGAACGCTGTCACTGGGAGCTTGTGACAGCTTTACCGCCTGCACAGAAACTGCTCAGATTATATATTTTATGCTTGGAACAGCACATGGGGGTGGGGGTGCACAATTTGTGGTTTATGAACATCCCATATGGTGTAGGTATCTGGAGAAGATGACTTGGATGCTCAGGGGAACGTATAGCTTGGTGTTTTCAGCAAGAGGCAAACAAGCAGACGCAGTAGTGCACACAACAAGAGTCATATTACAGTCACATGCTCTTGCGGTCTGTGGGAAGAATACTTTAGTTAGCAAATGAGAAATGTCCTAAACGTGATGATGAATTTGTCAATAACTGCAATGGAGATGTTTTGTTTAAATGGTACTACCAGATACTTATCTGACCAAATCAGAATTCTGCATCTTGGAATCTATGAGTTAATTTCTTATAAATTGTCCTTTCACTGCTACCATACAAATATTTTATTTCTTCATGTTACTATTCTGAGAAATATACAAGTGACTGTAAGGAAAGTCAATTAAAAGTAAGTTGATTAGGTTATTGAAATGGACGGTTCCACGGACAGTTTGGAGATCCTTTGTTTTTCGTGTGGACGAAAATTGGCAAAATGATTGATTCATCAAAGCTGGTCAGTAACAAAATGCAAAAAAGAAACACAAATCAGAAACGTAAATCTTCAGACTTAATTGAACATTTGGCAGGAGGATATCCTGACCTGTCAAATAAATTCAAGTAGTTTTAGTATTTTAATTTTAGGTACTGTTCATCAACTGCCAAAAAACTTCAGTACTGCCCTGGTTTCACAAAACCTCGGTAGACAGCATCACGATGATCGTTAACCACAAGAAGTGTTTTTAGCATTACGGGCAAACATTTTTAAGATAAAGAATTGTGAACAGCCTGTTTAATTCATGAGCATCATTTCATTAAAGTTACTGTAAATATTGAATGAATAAAACCTGTCATTACTCCAATTTACTTAAGACAAATTATTATGAAAATCTCCTCTCCTCTTGTCTAGCTGAAGCCCACACACTGAAGCAGCCCACTCTTTCTGCTCTGGGAGAATCTAAAAAAAATAATATATATATATGACAGGACCTCAAGTAAAATGAGAAGAAGCTTAACCCTTTAATCTTCCAGCCACTACCATGCTAGTTTTTAATCTGGTTAACTGCTAAGTGGCAGTAAACTAAACATCATCAAGTTTCACAAGCTGTGTACACAGTAGTGTTAAGGCCCATAATGCACAATATAGCTCTGTTTTATAATATAAGTAGCAAGTATAAGCTAAATCATTGTTTGCCTTTTCCTGAATGCAAAAAAATTATAATGCGAATTAGTCCCGCAATGAATAATTATAATGTACAACTGTAAATTGAGTTCCTCTACCTAAATTAAATGAATTCCACAGTCTATGAACTACAGTGTACAGTGCTCTATGTTAAATGCATTTCCACTGTGAACTATACCTGGATATAAATACATATACTGGCAAGGCATGCAAAAATGGCCCTGTTATTTCTGAGTGTGAGAAGATGGCAGCTGGTTTGTTTAAAAGCCAACGAGGGATCAACAAGACACAGTTTTCATAGTTTTTTCCCATTATCTGAAATAGATTTTTGATACTTGGTATTTATACTTGATCTGGGCAGAGGGGAAAAAAATAATGGTGCATTTGAATGATGCAGGGTTTAAAAATAGGGATTTCATGGTTTTTGGCATTTTCAGCTGTTTTCCAGTGAACGTTTCCTGTTATGGTTTTCCTCATAAGGTAGCTCAGTGATTCATTCTTGTGTTTTTCTTCTGATGAAGTAGCTGGATAGTCAGCATGAGGTTCCTCTGTTTTGAGGCCAAACAGTTCTGCAGTTAAATCCCTTTCTAGGGAATATTGCTCTTGCTCTTTGTGTATTGTATGTGCGCTGAGGATTGTGGGTAGTTTTTAACAGTGGGCAGATAACTCTTTTTGAACAGTGGTCATTTTCTCTCTCCATGAGCATCATTCGTGTTTGGTGTTCTTTTGACAGTTGAGCTGTGAACACTCACATCAGCTAAGGTGAGATTCACAGCCGATCCCTGTATGTTACTCTGGGCCACGTTCTGAGTCTAATTTGTTCTTTTAGCGATTTTGATTGCACAGCTGCTTAGAATCTTTTTCTTGATTTGCATCTCAGGTGTCTCGTATGCTTAGCAATGGTAAACCGGTTGCTGTATCTTTGAGGTCTTGATCCAAGCAGGCTATCACAGTAACCTGACTCTAATTAAGCATGTTAAATGACAAAGTCTGTTTACATACAGAGGGAATGTAGACAGATTATGACAAATTTCACAGACTTTTTCACACCACTGATCCTATGCATATTTAGCGGTTTGTCAGAATGGGACACCAGCAGTGTCTGTTTCTCAGCGATCCCCGACGTACATGATGAGCCCCAATTCTTACTCAGGAAAAGCCTCTGTATCCATTACTCTGCGCAGGTCTTCAGACTCCGGCGGCACGTTCCGATTCACCCCCTTGTAGCCATGTTCGCTATATCAATCGGTGACGTGGGTCCTTGGTTGCTGCTGCATGCACATGCGAGGACATTCCCTGCCTAGTCTGCTGCCTGTGACTGACTTTCACATTAATTATACCGGAGTAACATATTTCTGACACCGCAGCAACATTTTGCTTACGAATGTAGCTTACAAAGGGGACAATCTGCTTAAGCCACAGTAATGTGTGACTTACTAAGGAACTGTGTGTAGCACACATTGGAGTCAAAACATCGCTTGGAGGTATTTTATTTCAATGAGCCTCTTACTCATACATTCAGCTCTATTCAGAAGCGGAAGTCCAGGCTACTGACTGAAATCTATTCTCTATGCTTCTTGAGAAGTGTGCTGATAAGTCATCCATGTCTATTCTTTATGGTTCTGTAGGGATAGAATAGCAGTAATTTATTCCTCCCTGTGGGGAAATTCAGCAATTTTTTGCATATCTCATGTGGCTCTGAATGAGAGAGAGCAGCAGACACAGACAGCAGACACACATATACAGTCCCCACCACAATTATTGATGCTGGTAATGATGAGTTAAAACTGTTATCAGAAATCTACCTTTTATTGAATTAGCTTAATCTCACACTGAAAAGAGGAGAAAAATGCAACCAATGATTCAAGTAATTTTTTTTTTTAATTTTCATTACAGCTCACCCCCTCTCGCCTCATTGATGTGGGAACACGACAGCTGTATACAGATATAGCCATTTAATGCATTTAAGAATCGGTGATGCGCAGGAAAGTTTTTTTTTTTTTTTTTTCGAAAAAAAAAAAACCCCCATCAAGAATTTTTTTTTTTAACAAAACCACATATACCACGATTGTTACCATGAGCGCATTTTCCCCACTTGTATCTTACATTTTGAAATTGATCAGAGTGTATAGAGACTGTCAAGCAGTACTCTGTGACTTCCTGTTTCACTGGGGTAAAACTTTAAGGTCACACAGAAGCCAAATTCTCTTATCATTCATCAACATGGGAAAAGTAAGCGAACATACAAATCAAATGAAGGAGAAGGGTGTTGACCTTCATAAGTCAAGGAATGATATTAAAATAGCTACTTGCCTTAAAATGCCTGTTTCTACTGTTCATGCAATAATTACAAAGTTCAAATCAACTGGAACAGTTACAAACTTGCCTGGAAGAGGACTCAAGCTTATTTTCACCTACGCACATTGAGGAGGTTGGTAAGATAGGACAAAAAAATTCACAAGGATCGAAGCAGCATCGTGGGGTCAACCACATCTCCAAAATGACAATCAGACACCACCTCCATGCTAACAGATTATTTGGAAGGGATTCCAGAAAAACAGCCCTTCCACACGTGTAAGCACCTGGAGTTTGGTAAACAATACTGCAACTTTGACCGTATTTTATGGTAAAACAAAAAGTGATTTTGGAAACAAACACTCATGGTTTGGTGTAAAAAGAAGGATGGCTATACTGAGAAGAACCTGAACCCCCACTGTTAAGCATGGTGGAGGTTCTGTGATGTTGTGGGGCTGTTTTCCTTTAAAGGCCCTGGGGACTGTGTACGGGTACGTGGCGTCATGGACTCCATGAAAGGCCAGGATATTTTGAATCTAAATCTGGCTACCTTTGCCAAGAAACTACAACTGCATCATGATTGGCTCTGCCAGCAGGACAATGATCTGAAATACAGTGGTACCTCAGAACTCGAACTCAATCCGTTCAGAACTCGGGTTCGAATCCTAAAAAGTTTGAGTTCTGATGGAATTTTCCCCATAAGAAATAATGCAAACCAATTAATTGGTTCCCGGTCCCAAAAAATTGCACCTAAATATGTTTGTTTCTTTAGCATTTAAACACAAAATGAACAGGATAAAACAAGAAGAGCATATACTAAACACATTTTCACAATGTCTTGCAAACACTGTGCCAACACTACGCTGTGCGTAACATTTTTTGCTTAATGGCTTCCAAAACGATAAAGAATGTACCCCAACACTACCCCAAGCCATGCCCCTGTATTTGTTAATTTGTTCGTAAATCGCAAACGTTTAGGTTGTAACATTTGTACAACTATTGCATAACTTTTTGGTGAGCAATGGCTACCAAAATGATATAAAGTACAGTGCATTACCTGATATTTAAAAAAAAAAAAAAAAAACTATCACCAACAAACGATGCTATCACAACGAATGTGAGGCTTAGACTGAAGCGTTACCCTTTGTTTCCGCTGAGAGACGTGCCGCATGACTCATTTCCCTGCACGTACAAGTTATCTTAGGTCGGTGTTCACGGTTCGACTTCTGAGATTCAGATCGAGTTCTAGGTAATTTTTTTTCGATCTGGTTGGTTCGACTTTTAAGAAATTCGAGTTCTAATGAGTTTGAGTACTGAGGTACCACTGTATATGTACAGATCAACACCAAAATTGTTAATATAATACAAAATCAAACTTCTGCCATGTACAACGTAATCCCCTGACGTAAACCTGTGAGATTAGCTTTAGAGGTGAGTCCACAGAAGAGGACCTAGGATCCTGGATGACCTGGAGAGATTCTCTAAAGAGGAATGGTCTCAGAACCCCTGTATTCTTCAACCTTATGAGATATTATAGGAGAACTAAATGCTGTTTTATTGGCAGAAGGAGGTTGTACAAAGTATTAGATGCAGGGGTGCCAATAATTGTGGCATATGTGCTTTTGGTGAAAATAATTATTTCCTGATGAGGGATTTTTTCCTCTGAATAAGTTTATTTTAATTAAAGGTTGGACTTTTTGTTCTTTTCTTTCATTGAGATAAGCTGATACATTAAAAGGTGAATTTATCATAACCCTCTTTACTCATCTTTACCCGGAATGAGGGGATTGTATATACAGCTGAGTAAAAGTTTTGGGCTTAGAGCCCCTAGGGCAGTTCAGGTTAAGGGCTTTGCTCAAGGACCAAACAGCGATATTACACTAATGGCCATGAGATTCAAACAAATGGCCTCCCGGACATGAGTATACATCTCGCAACTCGCTGTGCTACACAAAGCCCCTTGTGGTAATGTTCTCTGTGTTCCCACAGAATGATGTACTGGGCCAGACGAATTGAGCAGGAATTGGACAGAGTGCTTCAGCATGCCAGCTCCCAGCAGCTGAGAGGGGTGAGTCTTCTCCGATGGCAATGGTCAGACTTCTCTTGTTCTCTCTCCCGGCTCTTAGTCCTCCAGCTGAATTCCCTCCAGGATGGCTTCCCAGTCCCATGTCAGAGCAGTAAAGTAAGGCAGATTCTGGCCCCCGGATGCATGACGGTAGCAGGCGGACTCTCCGGGGGATGCCTGGTTTGGGGAGTGATGAAATTATCATTGATCTCACTGAATCCTTGACCCAGGACGGATGTGGGGCCTCCTGGCACAGGGAAAGTGGCGCATAGCCTGATCTCCGCCTGCCATTGAGCAGATGGTTTGGCAGCAGGCAAGCGAGAGAGAGAGAGCTCTGTGTCAAGGCGGCATGAGAGCCGTGTGGTGGCGTGTTTGTTTACCAGGGATCGGAAGTCCACTCCGTAGCATTGGCTGGAGTTTTAACACGGTGTCAAGAACGATTAGCATGTCACGGCACTTACCAGTCTGTGTGAATTTTCGTGTGTGACTTCGACTTGTGGTCCAGGATAAGGCGACTAGAAGAGGTTCGGTCTACAGGGAAATGGGTTTAAGTGTAATGGAGGTCCCTTCCTGTTAGCCTCCACCTAAAACATGTTAACTTAGGCTTCAGTGTAAAATCCACCCTGCTTAGCCTTTACCACATTTTTGTTTATTGCACTTTTCATGTAAAATATTTACTGCTTAGCCATTGTTTATCACACTTTCATCTTGGCTTCTGTGTAAAACACTTCCTGCTAAACATTTCCTCCTTAGTCTTTGTTAAAAACTCTTTTGTCTTGGCTTCTGTGTGAAACACTTCCTGTTTATCTGTTGTTTAAGCACTTTCATCTTGGCTTTTGTGTAAAACCCTTTACAGCCATTGTTTAAAACACCGTTGTCTTGTTTTATGTGTGAAACAATTCTTGCTTAGTCACTTAAAACAGTTTCTTCTTGGCTTCTATTACACACTTCCGGCTTATCCACTGTTTGAAACACCTTCATCTTGGCTCTAGTGTGAAACGCTTCTGACTTTGCCTTTGTTAAAAACTCTTTCGTCTTGGCTTCTGTGTTACATGCTTCCTGCTTAGCCGTTGTTTAACACACTTTTGTCTTGACTCCTGTGTAGGATATTTCTTGCTGACTCAGTGGTCAGCAGGGCTCATTAAAGGCAGATGTTTATATTTTTTGACACCTAAGACTCATGGTGCCTGGGCTGCAGTTGAAGTGTAGACAGTGCGGCTCTGCCATTCCCAGAGTATTTGCTTGCCGTTTCCTTCATGCACTCACTGCATCATTTTGAATGCATTATCTTGCATTATCTTTCATGCATTATCTTGTGTCGATTTCAGGGAAAATCCAGCTGTGCATTGGGGGTGAAAGCTATGCAGGCGTTTTCTAACCTAGCTAAAAAGATTGAGGCAAGGCCTTTACAGCACATAGTTTTGAAAGTCATCTGCATGGTGCATGTAATTATCCCAGGCACAGTGTGTTTCGTGGTAATTGGTGCTTCACTAACTGTTTAGCCTTCAAGCCTTTATTTAGTTCCTTTCAATGCTTTACAAGAGGTCTGCATGCCAGATATACAGCTAAGGCTGTATATGTGACAGCGTACTTTACAAAATGAAAATAATTACAAAGAGAGCAAGGGCTTGCTGCAGTCTTTTACTGTTTATATCGACATTAAGTACCAGGACTCTTTTGCTTCAAAGCATGGATTGGGAATGTTGCTGTGCCTTAACTGCAGACCAGTACCAAACTGCCTTATGGCCTTTTTGACAGACTGGTGAAATCAGTGGTTCATTTATACACCAGATGCATGTCAGCCTCATAGTTGTAGTTAAAAAAAAATGAACATGAGGGTCCTGCAGAGAGGAAAACCGGCTTTTTCTGCTTAGTTGTGGGGTTTTTGTGGGAGGGAGGCAGAAGTGCTATGAGGAATCTCACCCCATGGGCATATTACAGCAGTAAGAGATGAGACGCAGACCCACACTCAAGAGCATGAGTCAGGTCAGCAAGACACCAAGTCCACTGTTTTACAATAACAATTCTAGAGCCAGGTATTGCTGATGGCTCTTAGTTAAAATGCTGCGAGGAAAGTATGTAACTGCCTTCGACCAAATGTGTGCGGCATCACATGGGGGGAGAAGTGGCACAAAAAGATGATCAGGTGATGCCCTGGTTGCCCCTAACCCAACCATTTGTGGTGGAATTTCTTTGTAATCTTTTTTTTGTGCAGCACTGACTTTTCTGCGTCTGCTAAAAATGACTGTTCCCTGGTATCTCAAGCGCAGCTCCCACGGGGTGTTTTAAACAGTTTCCTTCCCTTGGGAAGCTGCTCATTCTCATACCAACTCAGTTATTGGGAAAGGGGGGGTGGGTTCTTTGGCCAAACCTACTCAAGGGACCATGCAAGTCCCAGTGGTATAGCAGGAGTGGCCCGGTTTGTATTGCAAGGTATGGGAGTGCATGCACAGTTTGTCTTTGCAGGAAGGCTTTCCACATTTGTGTGTAGTTCTTGCGGGAGAGCATGCCATATGTTTTGGGTAAGAAAGTCACAGCCACTCTCCATCTCCAGCCCCTAACACGCATCATCTGTTATCCACCAATCACAGCCCAGCATATAATCAGTCAGTCTGCCAGTTTTTGCCACATATATGCCAGCTATACCCCACAGTGTATAACAAGCTAGCAACTACCACACTCATCCTCCTCCATCTGTAATCCACCCTGCACCACACAGCCCACGTTTCACTATAGTCATTTACCTGTTTGTTGTTGGAAGGAGATGCGTTGAATAACACAAAGCCCAGATGCCTTTATTCATTGTGCATGGAAGTATGGAGTTTGTGTAAGAAAGCACAGGCAGCATTGTTTGTGGGGGAAGGTGTGCACACAGTCTGCCTACGTCACAAAGCTTGTATGGGCTTGTGTGTGGACTGCCAGTGTGAGTGGTTCTGGGGAAGATCGTGTCCTTTGTGGTGGTTGCACAGGACGTGCTCCTGCCCGGGGCGAGCGGCCATCTGGACCGGCCATGTCAGAAGGAGGGCTGCGGCGTCTGGGATGGACACGGGTGAGAGAAGACCTGAAAGCCTTGGAGCGCGTGGCTGTTCTGCTCAGTCGGATATTTGCATCCTTGTGTCTTAATGAAATCCTGGCACTCCACCTCCACTGCCCGTCATGTCAGTGCCTCTGACCTGGGTTCTCTAATTACTCTAAATCCCTGCGGTGAAGTCGGATAATCACTGCTCAGTCTGAAATTCCCGTAGTCTGCCTGTCTGTTTTCTCCACCTCCTCTCCGGCTCTCTAGCAGCGACAGAGCAACAACCTCATCTCTCACACAGACATAGAGATTGAAAACCGTCCATGTTATGCAGGACAGGGTTACCTGGATCAGTAGAGGGGACAAGGCTGGTTTGACAGCCCATCACATACCACATCCACTCACATAATGGCTAGACACCAGTATGCCTAGCTGTATGTCTCTGGATTGCAGGAGGAAACCTATATGATATCAGGAGAACATACATATACATGCAGACTAGAAGTGGGATTTAAACCCCCAATCCTAGAGATATGAGGCATCAACACTAACCACAGAGCCACCAGTGGTCCTCAAAAGGATTGTCATACCAAAAAAATGCATCTTACTAAACCAGAGTGGTCTTGTAGTTGGGAAATGAAGCGTGCAGTATGTGTAACTCAGGCCTTGCCACCCAGGTGCACCCTTCACTATCAAACTGAACGCTGTTGAAAAACAGGAAGGAAAAGTCTTGTTACTGGTTGGTTAACTGCTTCCCACTTCAGAAATATATGTTTTTCTTATGCTCATGAAACATGATTGTGAAAAATATGATAATGATAGAAATATGACAATACGAAAAGAGTAGTGGGCGGAGTTGAAGTGTGAGAGACATTGAGAGAGGCCTAGTGGCGAGCTTGTTGCTGGACACCAGGAAGTGGATGCTTGACAGCATATGTTAAGGTCACGGTTATGCCACCTCCTGTCTTCACCACTAGTATTTATAGCCCTGGTCCTAGTTAGAGGCAGACAACAGCTGCTAATGGCAAGTGATATCCAGCTGCCAAGACCCCATTTGACCACCAGGTGGGACTAGCACTCCATCAAAAAACTCCTTGACCAAGAGCCATTTCCATTTGATATATTGTTCTGGGAGATGTGGGAACAGCTTAGGGAAAGCACACTCATTTTTCAAGTTTGTGTGTGACAGCTTGGTTCAAATAGTGACAGGCTTTATTATAGTATCTGCTCTGCTATTAGGAGACAGGGCCAGCCCAACCATGTCTTGTTGTTGTTCAAGCCTGTTATTTTGCCCTGTGTCATTCTCATTATTCCAAAGCTGAGAACAATTCATTTATATACATGTGATAGAGCTGGAGGACTTTCCACAGTTTACTGGCACCTTTTCTCAGTACTGATGCATTTTTACCTTTTGGGCAGGTTGCTTTATCTTTGCCTCTTATTTCCATCCATCCATCTTCCATAACCATTTGTGCAGTACAGGGCCACAGCCACCCTGAAGCTTATCCCAGGAAGCACAGGGCGCTAAGCAGGGGACACTCTAGATAAGGAGCCGCTCCGTCAAAGTGCAGCCTCCTCCTTCAGTTTCCAAAAAACACAATTTAGATTGCACAATGTGTATAGAGTGTTCAGTTTTTTTTCAGCCAGCTGAATTATGGTTTGTTTTATGTCAAACAGGGAGACCAATGATGATGGTATTTAAATAGCTTCAGTGTCTCATTTGTAAATACTGGGGCTTCAGTGTCCTCGAGTATAGCAGCTTCAAAGTGCTCATGGCTTTAGTAGGAATGTTGATAATTTGGCTTCATATTATCAAGTCAGGGCCACAGTGAGCCAACCCCTGTGTGCATAGTGAACAGGGCGGGGGCAAGATGCCGGTCCCCTCACACATATACACATGAATCAATTATCAGCCACCAAGCAGCTTAACAGGGACGCAGGCGACATGGAGCAGACTCACATGTGTATCGGCAGATCGTATATAACTGAAGCTAACACTGAAGTCACAGCCGTAACTCAGGAGGTGTGAGGCAACAACACTACTTACTGAGCCAGCATGCTGTGCTCGATAACTAAAATGAGCAGCATGGCACGGCACATGATATTCATGAGATTTCAGTTTCCATCTTTAAACATTTCCACCCATATGTAATACCCAGTAAAAATGAACCTAGCTGATGTTGTTGTATACTGTAATCTCTCAAACAGCGTCCATTTGCATTGGTGTACCCCTGTGCCATTTATAATGGTTCCTTCCTCTTGCGCTTGAATAGCATTGTCTCCACTAGGAAAAATATAGGAGTATTTCAGTCTCAATACACACTGGGCTTTCCCTGTTTTTGTTCAAGAACGGTTTGTCTTTTTTTTTAAATGACATTAGCATTGTTGCTGTAGGTGGAATGCTGCAGTTATTAAGCAAGTGGGAACCCCTCTTATGGTATAAAATGGTTTGCCCCGTGGCATTGGTACCAGCAGTGTCTCTCCAGGGAAGTTCTCATGATCCCTCACATGACACAGTCCTCCATATGTCACAGGAGTGCCCGAAAGGAGGTACATTATCCTTCATCTGCCGTGATCTTCTCATTGTGATTTCTCTGTGTAGTTATCGTTTCTGTTTTGATTATACTTTTGCATTTTTTGTGACTTGTTTTTCTTGACCTTATTTTGCAATGAGAAGCATCCAGGCAATCATCTGTGTAAATGCTCAAGCTTTTTCCAGGAGCCTGATCTGAAGCTATCATAGTATGTAAGCTCCTGTAGGGTGAATTTCTTTTTCTGGAGAAGATTTCTTGATTTTATTCTCACTGAATATAATTGAGAAAGTTCCCACCCACTCCACTTTTTTTTATTAGGCTGCTTATTTTGTGTCTGCTACTTAACTCCTTAGTGAATTTAACCACTGTACTACATATCACACCCAGCCCTGAATCAAGTGCAAAACTTATCGGCCACAGGCTACACCCACCTCCAAGTGATCCTGGTGTATAATCACCTCCACCTGAAATAAGTTTATTTAAGCTCATTCTGGTCAGCGTCTCAGTCTTTAGTTTTTCCAGTTCACTTTTAGTAGTCTGTTCTCATGGCCTGGCTTTCTGGTTTTATTTGTTTCTGTGACTGGGATTTGTTTTATTTATTCTGTTCCTCATTATCTTTCACGTGTCGGTTACTGTTTGTAGGCTAGCTGATTTTGCTTAATTGTATGACTTCATCTTTTGCCTGACCTGTTTGCATTCGGCATTTTGAGTTCCCTGCCATCTTGGCTGCGTTCCTCTTAGTCAGTAGCTCACGTCCTGTAAACACTGGGTGTTAGAAGGCTCTCCTGCCAATGAGGAAATTACTGACAGGTTGGGGCGTGGCCTTTATATTCAGACAGTGCACGATGCACAGGTCCTTGTTCATATAGTTCGGATTTCTTTAACTCTGCGCTGTTATCGTGGCAGTATACATATAAATAAAGTCAACTAGAAATCATATCTGCCTTATACAGTGGTACCTCGGTTCTCGAACTTAATCCGTTTTCTTTCTTTTTTTAAGCATTTAAACACAAAATGAAAAGGATGACAGGATAAAACAAGAGCAGCATTTTTTTCTTAATGGCTTCCAAAACGATAAAGATCTTATCCCAACATTACCCCTGTCCTGCCCCGATCGTCCGCTCCTTCCGTGTGCCACGCTCCCTCGTTAACCTCGTGTGGGATCCCCATGTGATCAGCTGTTTCTGGTTGTTATCATTAGTCCTCTGTATTTCGTCCGCGTTTCAGTTTGTTTCCCCAGTCCGGTCACTGGGCGCGTTCGACTTGCTTACAGCGCTGGCTTAAAGCAACGCATTCTGATCCTGACGCAATGCATTACGGTTAGATGCATTGCGACCTCTCACCCGGCTGCACAAACTGGAACCGCCTCCGTGACTACACACCTTTGCCCTTATTGGTTGAAGAGTTACACGCATGACGTTTGTATCCCAGGCAGTTCCGAACTTCCGATACGTAATCTGCTATTTCTCCCGAATATCACGTAAAGCAGTGAGAACTGGTTTTCAGTTAATTTACCTGGTCAAATAAAGTTTAAATAAATGACATAAATGCTCTAATAGTACACGTAAGTTAGTGGTTTATTTATTGTTAGTTACTGTAATGTTGCGCTGCTTTATTTGGTTAATCGTCCAGTCTGTGAAGAAGGCATTCAAGTAAGAATTGCTTTGTAGTATGACTCATTTCGTGGCGCATACAATTTATATTAGGTCAGCGTTCACGGTTTGACTTCTGATATTCAGATCGAGTTCTAGGTCAAACTAGTTCTAGTGAGTTCGAGAACCGAGGTACCACTGTTTTAAAAAATACCTGGTCTATATCCACGTGTGCACATTCGGTTATTTAACTTTACATTTTACTTTTCATTTTACCAGGATCAGCTTTGACAGATGGAAGTTAAAATAAATCACATTTTCCTTTCATTTTAAAATAATCCTGGCCATGGTTAGAATTGCCTCTACATAAACAGTACTATAGTTTGTAAATGGTTTCCAACTTGATAGCCTTCATATCAGTATAGATACTATAAGGAACTTGATCGGTATTTGTTTTCAATGAGGCATAGCGCTTGTAGCTGCTGTGAATAGGAAGACATGGTGGTTATGGGGTTGCACTGTTACCTTATAGCTCCAGGGTTTGGGTTTGAATCCTGTTTCCCCCCCCTTCTGTGTATGGGTAGAGCTTGTATGTATTCCTTGAATTGTGTGGGTTTCTTCAGTTCAAAAACTTGCATCTATGTCAGTTGGTATCTGTAAGTTTCATTTAGTGTTTGTGCGTCATTCTATAGTGCAGGGCTTTTCAGCCTTTTTTAAACCAGAGACCACCCAAATGAAAACAGACCAGAGCTACGGACAGAATCACATAACTAACGATTAAAGACAGGCGCTTTTAGTATTTCTTAATGAAACTTTGACTCTGAGTCTGGAGGTGGGTGAGTGGGTGTGTGAATACTGCATTGCGGACCCCCTGGAACTGTGATACACACCCCAGCTTGAAAACCCCTGCTATGTTGGATGACTGGTTTGAAGACAGATGCTGTATTTGCCAACTGCCAGTCTGTGGGAACTTTATAAAGACTGTCTCGGTCCGTTAGTTCATTAGATTAAGATGTGTTCTGATACCTCGACAGAAGTGGAATTAAAGCAGATCTTTTGCATTTTTCTTCATTAAAATTCCATGCAAAATACTCATTAAATTAATTCACTGTTATGTTTTTGCATAACTTCTGCTTTGTCTTAGGCCTTGTCCACATGTAAACAGGTGTTTTTAAAAACTGTGTTTTTCCTTCTCTGTTATTAAAAAATAATCTCCGTCCACACAAAAATGCTAAACCACGCTGTCAAGAGCATGCCAAATCAACAGGGGGCAATATAACTCTATCCCTCAAACTGTGTTGGCCAATCATAAGCCTTAATACCAGTTATGCTAGGCTAAAAACAGCTAATGTAAACAGCGAACGGCGCACATTCTGGTGTCAAATGAAGTAGATAATGGTGCTCCTTCTGATGTCACAAGCCAAAAACTCTGTTTTCAGTGACATGTTGATCTTCACCCTGGATGGAGTTTTGCAAAAGCTCTCTTTTGAGTAACCTAAAACACCCTTTGCGTATGGACAAAAGGCCAAAACGCATAGAAAAAGCTATGTTTTAAAAAATACCCATGTACATGTGAACCAAACTGTCACACACAAACTGTAGAGACTCCTGAGCTTAATCACCTTTGTTTAATTACTTTAATAAAATTTGATGTTTACATATTTTTAAATTCATATAGAACTCCAAAGGGTTTTTTAATGTTGATGTTTGTGATGTGTTCCTAATTTTCTCATTTTGGATTTATAGTCAGATTTCATAACACACCATTGTTGGATTTAGTCGTGCATTTTTTGGTATCATGCCTATGATAATGTATTTTAATAGTGATAGTGCCTTTACCATATTCTGGCCCACTGCCTATTGGTTGGCTTATTGACTTGCTTGATATAGACTTCTAGAGTTGATGTGTCTACCAGGGATTTGTCATTTGTGTCCTGTATTGGTTCATGATCTGGGAACACCATACCTGACCCTGCGTGATGACATGGGAGCTAGAATGGAGGCCTTTTACCAAAACACAGGCCTTTGGTCAGCACTTGGAGCAGTGGTTGGTTGAGTCAGATACCTGGGCTTCATTCTGGTTATTTTGTACAAGATATATTGAGGCTGCAGAATGGATTTTGTTATCTTATGGATTGCAGTAGCTCATAAATTATGAATGAGGAGTTATGGAGCGGTATATGGCAGTCTGAAGAGATGTTCCCTTTGCAGATTTACAATGAGAAGAGGCGTCAGTTCGGCCTGGTGAAGAACACGCCCAGCGACGTGGTGCAGAAGGTCTCCTCAGACATTGAGAGGCTCTTGGGAAAGAAGCGCAAGGCGCTTGAGGTAAGTAGGATGGTCCCATTCAAGACACTTGGAAGAATGGTGCAGAACTTTACGAGGTGTTTCTGAGAATGTCGGAATGAGAGGCTTTGAAGATGATTCAAGAGTATAGTGTAAATATGTAAAAAATCAAACGTCTGCTGTGAATATAACAGACACTGGGCATTCTAAAAAACAGGAAAAAATGTGATACAATGGTACAAAGATACCTAGGCCTCCAATATTTTTCCTTTAAAATGTGATACTTCATGTCCTTCTACAGTATAGCATAAAAACTTGTCCCTGGTACATTATATTGGATGATACCTCATTTTAAACCCCTCCCCAACTGGCCTTGAGTGCCATACATACCAGTATCTGGCCCCATTCGTCATTCACCAATTGGTAAGCTCCCCCAGTCACAGTATAGGTGTCAAGCTGTGGAGCAGGTGGCTGGGTACAGATTTGCCATGTCTGTGGTTCTTTATGCCAAACTGGGCCGGATTTTAAACATTTGTAAGTAAGAAGGACAATATGCAGGTTTCTATTTTTGAGCTTTGTGGCATATTTTGAGTGTGACATTGTTTTTCCATAATACAAAATAGTTTTAATCAATGATAACATCAAAATTGAGAAATAGGAACAATGTTCTGCAAAATTAATTATTTAAGTCACAGTCATTTGTCACCAGGTCCCTTCTTGTGTGGCAGAAACACTGGTCTTATTCAACGGATACTTTCTTTTGTAACATTAATTTTAAATATGAAAAAGTGTCAACCTAGCACAATGCTGGGAGATGTGTTTGAGGAATGCAGAGCTGGGCGTGACAGTGTTAATATATAAGATGATTTTCTCTTTTCAGTGAACAAATTATTTTATCCTGTCATGATTTGAGTGTTGTGCGTTGTGCTGAGGTTTGTGAAATTTTTAATTTTTTTTAACTATACACAAATGCAACACAATATGAGATATGAGACAAGACAAATCCAAAACATTTTCAAATGAGGAAAAGGGTATCACATTGTGTGGATATATTACTGTTACATACAAGAGGAAAGAGGAATCAGGTTTTGTAAAAAGGGAAACCAGGCAGGGGTGTCAGCAGAGATTTTGGGCACCATGAAAGCGAATCATATTGGGCCCCCAACCCAGACCAATCTTATTATGTTCCAAATTTTTAGGCCCCCTGGCACTCAGGACTTTGAAGCTCCCCCTTCTCAGCTCGCATGAAACCAGGTATCAAAGGATTTTTTTGTCATCATTCAGGAATGGTGTGAGTTTCCCCAAGTTATAGTGATTAATTAGCAACTGAGTCGCTGATTTATGTTTTTTTTCTTGTCTTCTCAGTTTGATATAGTTTTTTTGCGATGGAAAATGAGGGGTTTCAGATGTTTGTGAAATTGTTTCAGATGTAACGTGACATTGTCCCCATATAATGTAATGATGGGGCATGTAGGATTGCCTACAGAGGCTTGACAGTGTGGATATGTTATTTTCAGTGAAATCCGTGTGGTAGAGTTTATGATTAGTAATAAATGTTACATGAAGGACATTGTACTGTAGCTGGATAGTGAAAATGTTATCGTATATAGTTTGCCAATTGATGTCATTTTGTGGCTGTGGTGGAGCCAGAACTAAGATCTAGTGAGTGAGTTCTAGTGTTTTAATGTAAGTAGTCATAGTGGTGGCTCAATTAAAGTTAGTCCATGGACAACTAGCTGCTAGGTGAAAGCACTCTAATGAGAGCTATCATGGGCAAACCCTTCAATGACGTCTTTTGTGAGCACAACTGACACATGAAAACTTGTTCCTTTTTGTGTTATATTGCCAATTCATTTTGCAATTCCATTAATTATAAAAAAAAATCCTTTTTTTTTTGTTCTGTTTTTTGATCTGAATTAATGGTAGACTTAAAAATAATTGCTTTCTTTTCAACGTGTCTGTGGTATTCCATTGGTAATATCCCAATCATATTTTTATTGTTCTGGTATTGTTGAATTTTAATTGTGGTCAGCAACTAAGACTTGAACTAAGACTTTGAAGAATGGACTCTCATCCGTTTTGCAGAAAAAAACATGATGCTGAGTGCCTTAGATATAGAGGAGCTGACAGCAGTTTCTATTTACTTGGGATCATGGAAAAAAGGTTAAATGTTATTTGTTTTTAGGAGGATGTTAATTTTTACTGCAGATATTCTGCCTAGTAGAGAGGTAATTTATTTCATATTTCATTATCATCTTTTATTTATTTCATTCCGGATTGATGAAATACAGATACTTAAGTATTTGATGCATTTGTGTACTTTCTTGAAAGGGAAGTCCTTTGATTGCAGCATCCTAGTTGAATGTGGATATAGGCAGAATCTTAGAGTTCGTCCAGTTGATGGAGTAGCCAGACTCCCTGCTGTACTTACTAATCAGATTAAGGGCTGATGGGAGATATGATAAAGGATTCATAAAATATTGTAGTGCTGGACAGACCAGGACATCACGAGCATTGCATAGGACGAGGAGGCTTACTTGCCGGAGAAGAATAAGGTCTTTATTATTGTCCTTAGCTGGACTGTAGCAGGCACTCAATGAGCACCAAACCCAAATACACACAGCCGAAACCCAAGGCGGTCAGACGCCAAACTGTAAGGTGCACACACGGTGGAAGAGTTATACAAGCTAGGAACACGGGAGGATCGGACAAGGTGCATGCAAGACACGGGTAAACATACACGCCACTATCGGGGTGGTAACTATAGCCATAAGAACAATACAAGGGCTATTTACAATTACACAGACACAGGGCTATATACATGAGCACTCATGAGGCATATTGGGATGTGCAGATCTCACCGGCGCTACAATATAGTAAGGTATCATTAGCATACAAGCTGATTCTGTGGTGGCATGATTTTGATTGGATACTGTCACACTGCCTTATTGAAGGAGAAGGCTTCAGTAAAAGATGCAAACAGGAAAGGATATCATGGAAATCCTTGTTGAGTACCTCTTTGTAGTTGAAATGATGCTGATATGTGTGACATTTTAATCTACTTGATGAAGTATGCCTTGAATCAAAATGGTTGAGAGAGGTGAAGAGGAAAGACCACTCAGTCCTATCCAGCACCTTTTCAGCAAAAAGGGAAGCTTTAATAATGGATATGTTGTCTGGGGAGGGAGTATTATTATGGGAAAGAATTAAATTGATTCATCTTGTATTATTTGAGGAATGTCTCACATTAATGAAACTGGTTTGGTCCATGTGTATTAGTAACAAAATTATGGATTCTACTCTAATTGAAAACTTTGCTAATGATTTTTCTAGTGTCAATTGTGATATACAGTGGTACTCAGACAATGAGTGTAGTGTTTGGTTTTGGGTTGAGTGTGACATAGGCATTGTTCATGTGATGGTGTATATGGGAATGTTTAATGCATTTCAGATATCAATTGGGGAAATAGTGGTGAAATCAGAGGGAATTTTTTTTATAGAATCCTGCTGGATAACCAGCTGGGGCAGGTGATTCATTGCTGGGGAGATAATGGAGCAGTTCAGAAATTTCTTCTAGGGTGAAGAGTTTTCTTCATAAATTTGAGTTTTGGTTCGTTTTTCGAAGGAAGAGCCTCCTAAGAAATGACTTCCCCTGTGGAAGTGTTCTGATGCGGAGTATGAAGAGTTCAATAGAAATTTCTAAAAGAGTCATTGATTATGGAAGGGTTCTGGGATGTATTTATTACTAGATGGGTTTCTGTTTGTTGTTTAAATTGACTTGGTAAGGGTGGTGTGTGGCGCTATCAGTTAGGAGTTATGATCATAAGGGTATTGGTTCAAATCCTGATGCTGGCAGAGTGATATCACCTTCGGGTCCTTGAGCAAGGCTTTTAACCCTAAATAAGTTGATAGAAATGAATCAACCTGTTTTTTTCCAAGTGCTGCTACGTGAGTCTGAGAAGTGTTTATTCAGTTTTTTATTCATTGTGTTACTGAGTTCATGCTTTTAGAAGGTCTTCAATGAATGAATCAGTAGCTGTTCCAGTGGCCAGAAGGTCCAGTCTTGACCTCAGCTGCCAGTGTGTCTTACTGTTTCTCATTTCCTTTTATGTGGACAGTATATTATTACTCCTCTCATAATTGCTCTTGTGGTTTCCCAAAGTGTGTATGCTGTTATCCCCGATGTATTATTGGTCTTCAAAAAAGGTTGTCCATTCTTGTTTAAAGTAGTCAAAATTCTTTAAATAATGAGATATTAAAACAGCATCTGGAGAGGGAGTTATATTGATGCAGGCAACACAATACTGATGGGGCCATGATCTGAGATAGTAATGGATTATTGGATGGATTACTTTACGTGTGATAATTATCCAGGAAGAAATTGATTCAGGATAATATTTTATAGTAGGGAAAGCATTATGAATATTCATCATTGGGGTTATTCAGTTTCCAAATATCTATCAGTCTAATATCCAACATACTATTTAAGAAAGTGTTTGGACTTTTTGGTGGAGGTTATCACTGCAGGATGAGTCAACCATGGATTTGAGTCGTGTATGCTTTACCAATGTGAGTTAACTGTGTTAAACTATTAAAGTATTCAAGTAATGAAGGACTTTAGACCATCTGCTAAACATGCATCCTTACTAATTGTAGAAAGTTGAGGCCCATCATAAAATGGCTGATTACTTTTAACTGTCTGTATTGATAAAGCCCCTCAGACAGAGTTGCCTTTACATAAATGTAACCAACACCTAGCTCAGTCATAATGAAGATCTAGATGATGGCCTTATCGAAAAAAGGCAAAATTACCTTTCTACAATTACCACAATCATGTAACGAGTTCCTAGCTTAGTCATAACGAATAGCTAGATGGTGGCTTCATCAAAAAGGTGGAATTGCCTTTACGTACATGTAACGTAAGCTAAACTTCCTTAGCTTAGCCAAAAGAATTGCTATTCTTTATTAAATACGGTTGCAGTGAATTAGTTAAAGTTACATTGAAATTATTAGGTAGGTCTATAACATTATTATTAGATTAT